AACTCAATACCTAGGAACTCTCATGTATGAAGGTGCAAAGTAACGACTATGCATTTATTTCTGATACTTGTAATATAATAATAATTAATCAAGCGCATTCAATAAAAAACAGGATTTTTAAACTAAAATGATAGCATGATCTTTTACAGTAGTCTTCTGTCAAAAAATATTTACATTCTAATGTTGTAAAACGTTCCCCTGTGAAATGTATCTTTTTCAGTTTCATAAGTTTACCATAAAGGTGACGATATAGGTGCTTGCTTTTTAATGGATGATAATGGAATAGTAACCTCGCCTGCATTATTGATATGCACTGGTGACACACAAGTGAGGAATAATAGATAAGGATAAAGTAGGTCAAATGACCTATTATAACGTATTCAAATAAAAAATTTTCATGATGTTTTCCCAGGAGACCGCGTGGAGGTCGACCTAACATACTGCTAGCGGGGGGAAAGGGACTGTTAGTAATGGGGTCTAACTGATCCAATGCTAGCAATATGCTCTATTAGGTCTTTTTTTTATACAACTTAGTAAATAAGCTGACGGTCCACTTGATGGAAAGTGGTAACCGTCGCCTATAGACATAAGCAGTACCATGGACATAACAGAGTATACTGTTTCGCCCATGATACCCCCCATGCGTGGCCATTCCTGAGGACTCAGATGTTATTCCTCTGTACCCTGTAAATTCACGCCATATCCACCCTTCAAACCGAAATACAGTCATGCAAACACAACTGCTTCACGGTTGAAACACGAATGGGACAGAGGTACCCGAGCAATCGACTTTTGTACAAAGTCTCCCTCTGAATTTTCTTGAGTAACAAACATACATACAAACATTTACATTTATACATGTAATATTAGTAGAATTGTGGAACATAACAGCTTATACATAGTATTTAACAGAGAAATAAATCGGCCTTTTCCTTGAATATTATATTAGTCAGTGACATTTGTCACGACAAGTAATTGCTATTTCTCTATAGTTGTCGTCATTGCATTTTGGTTTAATTCGGGGAAGTTTGTGGTTAGGTTTTATGTTTTTTCCAAATTATACAACAAAGAGTTTGAGTTTTTTTTTTATAGGTAATAATGAAATAGTAATCCCATCCGCGCTATTGGTATACGCTGATAGGGCACCAGTGAAGGATGATAGACGAGGATGAAGCAGGTCAGTTAGCCCATCGTGACGAATTCAACGAGAATTGTTTACGATGGTTTCTAAGGGGAACCACGTGGAGGTCGAACTGATAGGGAGAACTTGAGGTTTAATCCTATTAACTCTCTAACTAGGCATCCAGCGATTTCCGCGTGCAGTATCTACTATTTTACTTTTATGCATCCCGCGATTTCCGCGTGCTCGCATTTTTTATGTTTATTGACGTTGTTATCCCGCGATTTTTGATTTCGTAGTACGATATTGTTTCTTAGAATCTCGCTAGATGGCTAAATACTTCGTACTGCTATTTGTTGTCAAAGCGATGCGAAAATGCAGCGAAAAAAAAATACGCGATCAGAGGGTTTTTTTTATGCCCGCCTGCGCTAACGGGATACGCTGGCGGAGCACCAGTGAAGGGTGATAGATGAGAATGAAAACAGGCCAGTTAGCCCATCATGATGAATTCATCATGAATTAACCATGATAGTTTCCAGGGGAAACCGCGAGGAAGTCGACCTGGTTGGGTATATTGCTAGCAATGGGATTCTCAGTCTCCATTACTAACAATCCCATTCCCCCGCCCAATTTCGGTTGCCAACCCGCCTGCCAAGCATGGCATCTACTGGCAAAACCTCCCAAAAGGTAGAAGCCTGTGTTCAGCTGTGGACAGACGGCTGATATGGTGATGATTTAAAAAAATATGATTAAAAGAGTGTTCTATTTTCATTGCTGTCTGTACCCACATGGAATGTATGAGTCAACATTGTTTTTAATTAATTCAGAAAAAGTGTGGTATTTTGCGTATTAATTTCATATGATTGAGATGTTATGCGAACACGTGGTATCAGTAATAGATAGTGGTAGGTAAACAATATATATATATATATATATATATATATATATATATATATATATATATATATATATATATATATATATATATATATATATATATATATATATATATATATATATATTAATATGTATATAGTACCTATCTACTATTGCGCACTAGAAATGTATGACTAATATTATTTACAGTCCATTCAAAATAAATATTCCGCAGTTGCATATAATAAGGCTGCAAATGAATTAATTTGCCATTTTAATACCGGTTAATAGCAAAACAAAATAGATTTTTTACAAATTTCTTACTTTTTTTTTTAATAGATGATGATGGAATGGTAACTCCACCCGCGCTATCGGTATACACCGGCGGGGCCCATTGTGACGAATTCAACAAGAATTGTTCACGATGGTTTCCAGGGGAAACCACGTGGAGGTCGACCTGATAGGGCATATTGCTAGCAATGGGGCTGTCAAAATCCATTGCTAGCAATCCCTTTTCCCCCACAAATATCTTACTGTGTGGTCGTGGCATAGATTGATTACCCTTTCCTTTCTCATAAGTGTCATAAAAGGGGACTAAGGGAACTGAATAGTTGAGAGGTGGGCAGCAGCATCCTTCTTAAAACATCACCTAACTGTGGGGACCAACCTGCTTGTCAAGCGTGGCAACTACTGGCAAAACTCTTCTTTATGGGGGAGGCTTGTGTTAACTAGTGGACAGTTAAGGGTTATTATGATAAATTTCTTATAAAGACGTTTAGAAATAAAAAAATAAAATAAAAGAAAAAACATATTAATTGTTTTGTATAATTTTTATTATAGTTATGTTATGGTTTTAGAGGTGAAACGTGGTAATGAAGTTATAAGGTATATTTGAAGTCATAATACCAGATTTTGTAGATAAGTCGTCTGCTTGAATACCTCATTCGTGTTTCTGCTGTGAAGCAGTTGTCTGCAAAGCTACGTTTACCCTTTGAAGGGTATGATATGGGGATAAAATTACAGGGTGCATAGACATAACATCTTAAATCTCAAGAATTCTAAGAAGTCTATTCTATGCCGAGACCACACGGCTTACACACACACACAGACACACACACACACACACGCAGCTAGCACGCACGTACACACACACACACACACACATATATATATATATATATTCTTTGTAATGATAAATGGATGTTTGTTACTTTTTCACGCAAAAAATACTGAACGTATTTGAAGGGGATTTGGTACCCGGATAGGCTATATCCTAACTTAATACATTGGATACTTCATATATTTACTGATAACGTGGACAAAGCCGCGGGATAAAGCTAGTATTGTAATATTTACCGTTACTTGGCAGGCGTGGTTTGTTTTTATCCAAAAATATAAACGTTGCATTTATGCGATAGTACGTGATTTGGGTATAAGAATCGTATTAACTTAATATGTAAAAATCCCATGTCATACAAAGTTCATTCACGCTAATCTCCGAAACGGCTCGAACGATTTTAATGAAATTGTGTGAATATGTACCTTTTGTTTACTTTAATTTGAGAGATATTTTTTCTAAAATATTATAAAAAGGAAAGAATCTATTGTTAAAAGTTTATTTTTAAGTACACATTATGTTTTAATGATAAAATTGTCACATTAAATTTAAACAGGTAGTTATTAACTACTAGTTTACCAGAGGGGGACTTTGTACAAAAGTCGATTGCTTGGGTACCTCTGTCCCATTCGTGTTTCAACCGTGAAACAGTTGTGTTTGCATGGCTGTGTTTCGGTTTGAAGGGTGGGATATGGCGTGAATTTACTGGGTACAGAGGAATAACACCTGAGTCCTCAATAATGGCAACGCATGGGGGCATATCATGGGCGAAACAGTATACTCTGTTATGTCCATGGTACTGCTCATGTCTATAGGCGACGGTTACCACTTTCCATCAGGTGGGCCGTCAGCTTGTTTGCCATTCTAAGTTGTATAAAAAAAAAAAGTTTAACTTATATGTATTTTAATCGAGATAGATCGACTAGTTTCGGGACCATTCTGGATGCTTAGTCATGAGCAGCTGTGGTGCGAATGCCGACCAGACTGACCATTATTTTATATGAATTAACAATCTAGACAATCTGTCATATGTCTTTTTTTTAATATTATGTATATATTTCCATATCACGTGCTTCGTATCGTTCCTATATTACCATGTAAGTAGATTGATGGTATCTAGATCACAATCAGACGCGTACCACGCATAATGAGCAGCGTGGACGCCCACACATACAGCTTCGTAAGCATTTTTGTATATATCTGTATAAGCATTTATAATTATATTTATATTTGCAACAAATAGAGGGTGTCACCAGAGGGAGACTTTGTACAAGTCGTTTGCTTGGCACCTCTGTCCCATTCGTGTTTCTACAATGAAGCAGTTGTGTTTGTATGTGTTTCAGTTTGAAGGGTGGGATATGACGTGAATTTACTGGGTACAGAGGAATAACACCTGAGTCCTTAGGAATGGCAACGCATGGGGGGTGTCATGGGCAAAACAGTATACTCCGTTATGGCCATAGCACAGAAAGAAATAAAAGGAATCATAATAAAATTTTATAAAGGAATCTTTATTGCACTTGTTATTGCATTGTAAATGCATTTTACAATGTAATATTGTAAGCAAGGGTGGATTTATCTCTAACAGAGACCAATTTGTTTTTGAAATCTTAATTTATATTTACATATTAACTGTTTAATTATTCTTATTTTAAAACGTGTAAAACGTTTTATTTGAACACTGAAATTAAAGAGTATGGAGGTATAAGGCCGTAGCTCGGGAATGGCAACGTACGAGAGGTAACATGGACAGCACAGTATATCCTGTGATCATCATGTTAATAGAATATATATTACCAATTTTCATAAGATAGGCTGTTAGTTTGTTATTCCATGTTGAATAAATAAAAATAGTAGTCATAATCTAAAATTATTTATTATTAATTAAAATATTTTATGTCTTTTGTAGACAATTTTATCACATACAAATGGTAATTTTGTAGACAGTTATATTTACATTTCTACTCTTTTTTTTATTCGTACATGTTATCATAAATATTTATTAAATTTAGATAATAATTATAAATTTGTTAATAAATAATTTTTACATTAATAATTTCACTAAGTTATAATGGAATGTTTATTTTATTATATAAATTTATCAAATAATTTTCATTCAAATTATTATTAATAAGTAATAAAGTTAATTTATAGGTGACTTCATTAATTTGTATAAAAGTATAAAAATATATCTTTTATACCCTATTTTTTATCCAACTTATTTTATATTTAACCAAAATTGTTGATAAATTAATGCACAATGTTGACAATAAATATAAAGAAATTAGCTAAGCTATAAAAATTTAAATACATAAATGAAGAATGACAATTATTAATTTAGAGATATGGTGCCTAAGAATCGATGTCAAAGCTAAATATTGCATTTATATTTCCAAATGAACTTTTGAGTGCCAATACTACTGCCATCTATGAGATGAGTTCTAATAACATATCTTGCTAACACTCTACAGTCTACTTATTCAATAATTATCTATTATATATAAAGTCAAATGACGTTGAACTCTGTAGCATTGGGTTTAAGACACAATGTCGCCATTCCTTTGAATTCGCAGAGAATTTTTGAAAATAAAATAAAATGCAGTACTGTTAAAGATGGCTAACTTGGAATTAAAGCATTACCAAGTTTCCTAGTTAGCACAGTGGAAGTCTAAACTAATATTGTTAAACAGGATTTTTTCCGGCATACACAGACCATCAGTGTATGCCGGCTCAAGAACCCAGCGACCCGGAGGTAGTTGCCTCCGGAGATGCAGCCGGGGTAGAGGGGTTTACCCCGAGACCCCTACCTCACCCGCCTACACTACAAAAGGCGGGCAAGAAGACCCGATGATGATGACAGGATTTTTTGTTTGTAATGAATAAGCTAAAAAAAAAAGAAGTAATAAATGGATTTAAAAAATTCATTCACCTATATAGGTACATTATCAATGTGTAAAATAAGCTGTATTTTATTTTCAATGAAACCATGCGAAACCAGGATGGTGCGTGTTTTAATATTCTCAGTTCGTCTCCTAACAAGAGGTGTGGTACACAGCAGTGGGAAGGTTATGGTTCATGGCGATAATTATGACGTGGACAGGTTAAAATATAATTAAGATACATACATTTTCCTAATAGTAGTTACATTAACATTAGTTTTTGGAGTGATTTATCTGGAAGTTTATGCCTAACATTGTAGGGTCGAGGCCGGCGACCGCGGTAGCGATCGGTCTCGCTAGAGCGACGCCAGAGGCCGCCACCGCTGTACCGATAGGTCTGGAAGCTGCCAACCCATTCTCACCGATGATGGCCAGACCTGAAATATGAATTTTTAAAATTAATGCAAATATATACTGTTTTGGAGTATAAATATTTCACATTAATAGTACATTAACAGTGCTTAATATTCCTGGTCATGTTGGCATGTACATCTATATCATTTTTAACTAATTGCCCAATATTTATCACATACTTAAATCTATTGTCTACTAGCATACTAGAAATTGTCTCAAATACGGGTTATATTTGAGAAATGTCTCAAATGTCAAAAAAAAAGCATATTAGCTAGTGAGCTAATATGCTTTTTTTTATATAACTAGATTTGAGCACAAAATAAAATGCCGCGTAACTTTGTTGTAATTTGCTAAGCCACTAGATGGCGTTGAAGCATATCGATTTCTATTATATAAAGACTTCATATCTATGGATGTAGAGATAAATAAATATATACAGGCAGTCTCAATATCTGTTGTAATTGCTAAATTTAATATGAAGGAGAAAAAATAAATTTAACGCGGTGAAAGCTACCCTAAGTAGATAATGTAATAGGTACGTATTGATAAAATATAATTTGTACATGTACTTACCGACTGGTTTAGCTTCAGCAATTGTGGCTCCTCCAAGAATTTCCTCAGGATCATTGTCTGTAGGTGCATCGATTCCAACGCCTTCCTCGCCCACCTGTAATTTATTATAATTTGTGTAACTATATTAAGTATAAGATTGGGCATAAATGAGTTCAACAACCTTATCAGTTTCTTTATTAGCTTTTATAATTAATTAGATAGATTACGTCTTTACAATCGTCTCCATTTTTTGATGTGTTAAGGTAAATTAAAAAAGTAAATTGTAACCGAAATAAGAATCGTGTAATTTTGATCAAATTAATATTGACAAAACAAATTTGCATGTGTCATGCAATTTTTGTAACACGATAACGAAAATCTTTGAATATGTAATGTAAATGTGGCAAATAAATTTCTACTATCAAATAATTCGAGCTGATTATTTTTTTATAACTAGTCCCAAATTTTAAAAGTTTACAATAGTTTATGGTTTATATATCTGTTCTGTAATATCATCATGTAAGATATAGAACTCCTATGTCTTTCTTACTTTCTTTATAGTTGTTTACCTTGTCAAATAAGATAAAACTAAAACACTACGTGTACTAAGAAAAAAAATCTATTTATTTTATAATTCAAGCGTATTAATTTCGGGTTCTAAGTTCATACATTGTACAATTTCAACAACTATGTACTTACATCATCCTCATCATATTCAACACGTCTTTGCGTAGCATTACTTTTGAATAGCATATCAATATTATCACCAACTTCATCTATCAGTTTGATGGTATTTGAAGCTGCCTCTGCAAGCTTCTCTAGTTGAGTCTTGAATCTCTCTTTATCACTTCTCCCCAATGATCCGGTTCTGCGCCCAAGATTATGAAGTTTCATAACACTTGCGGATAGCATCTTCAGATTTTGTAAATTAGCTGCCAGCACTTTTGAAACCAGAGTTTCATCATTATTTTTAACTATACTATCTGTACTTATTTTATCTTCTGATACTATACTTTCACTTATGATCCGTCCGGATGTGTCTCTCTTTATTTCTAAATACTGTCCTTTTGCTCCACCGTAGAATGGTAGATATTGAACTGATTCCCTGGGAAAGTGGGTTAATATCATATTTAGTATGCTACAAGAAAACGTTATTTTAAAATATTAGAAAAATATCATCATCATTATCGTCATGTCAGCCATAATCCGTCCACTGCTAAACATAGGCCTTATTTCTTTTATTTCAATTCTCCACATATATTCCTTTCAGATTCTGAAGTATGGTATGACTGGAAGAAATTCCTTCTAGGAATAAGTCCACCTGTGTACAATTTTATTATTATCTAAAATCAATATTAAAAATAAATGTACAAAAACTTATAAAGCAATAAATAAATATATATAAAATTGAGAAACAATTTAGTAAGTTTCATATTCCATTTAACTTTGCTAAAGATTATTTATTACTATATTGTTATATTGTATAGTTTATATAATTTGAAATTATGAAACAATTGTAATATAGAATTAAGTTTAGAGTAATTTAATGTAAAAACGTTTTCTTGATTTTTTTTATACAATTTAGAAAGTCGAACAAGTTAATACGAGTAGCTCATATGAAAATTTACGGTTACGCATAATTATCTATAGACATAAACGGTATAATTCTTTCTACGATAGATATTACAAAATACTCTACGATATCTATGATACCTGATATTTTTATCTAATTTATTTATATTTTTGTTTGCTTCTATAGGTATATTAATTATTAAATAATCACAATTAAGTTCAATGACTTCATTGGGTGCAAGGTTTGAAACAGTTGAGTACTAGGTACTTAAATATGATATTGGTGATGGTGTAGATTCTTTCTATCCATATAATTATATTCCATAAATAATAATTATATAAAAAAAAAACTAAATGTTATATTTCATAGAAATTTATTAAAAAAATCTTATTGTTAACAATCTTATAATTTCTAACTTAAATCATGTTCGAAAAACAATTTCAAGTATTAAGTCGAAAGTATTTTTCGTTAATTAACGATTACAATTTAGATAGACAGATAGATATTTAGTTTATTTGCATTACTTACTGCATACAAATAACAATAGATATAGATACATTCGCAGAAGAAGAAATAAAAGAATACATATACAATAAAAAGGACAATATATAAAAAAGTAACATAACTTTTCATTTCGTGAATGTGCCACAGTGATACAAAATGGCTACTACTCAGTTTATTGCCCTCAAAAGAACAAACACTGGTATTCTTTTGTAGCCAAAATTTTGACAGTTTTATACAAAATATATTTTTTTAATATAAAAACTTTCTTTATTGTAATAAACATAATAACTACTTGCAACTCTTAACATTATGTTTTTATACACTGAATGTGTGTCAGTCAATGTACATATTCGTATAAATACAAATCAGATTGAGCATGAGCTATGCCACCAGGTCCAGCGATGGCAGTTGCAATCGGAGCATGTATTATACTGCCCAGTTTATTTTGAGCAATTACAACTTTTGAGATAGGGTTAGCTATAGCGATCCCCTTAACACCACCTATAGCTCGTGCTATAGGCTTCACAATCAATGTTAATTTTGAATCTTGAGCTTTCAAAGGGCTCTTCACAAATTTGGAACCGTTGTATTGGTAGTCGTCAGATCTTTTACTGAATCCATGAATCTGGTTTTCCCTTTGATCTCCTTTGAAGTTTCTCCACTCTCGTCTTCGATAGATTCTATGAAGATAGAAAAAAAAATGAAAATTAATATACAGATATAATAGAAGAGAATTAAAAAGAAAAGCAGAGAAATATCAATTTATTGGATGATAATATATAATAGGGCCAGTTGCAACAACTTTCCCTTCAGGAATAGCTTCTAAAAATCTTGGTACAGAACCATTATTTGATGACACTTCTTGAAGTCTAGAAATTATTGATGAAAAGTTAGCGTCGGGCGATAAGGCGACAACACGTGCTGCTGGACCGGCGACAGCGAGCCCTCCAGGTTGGGTGTAGGCAAGCCCACCAGGACCCACAATAGCAGCCCCTCCTCTTCCAGCTGTCGCTACTCCACCAGGACCAGCAATTGCTACACCACCTCTTCTGACTTTTAATCGATTTATAAAAAAGCCTGGACTAGGTGCAATAGGTTTTTTATCTCCGAACCAGGAAAACTGTCCGAAACGCAAGTCACCATCATCTAAGAAATTATTCGTTTTTGTTCCTTGAGACGGCTCGTCCACAATAGATTGTTCTTGTTGTTTCACGGGTTTCTGGGTGTTTGTTGATGGCTTTTGTGAGAAAAATTTCTTGACTTTTTTTAATGTGTTTAAATTTTCATCAATTTTCGACTGTGTTGCAGTATTCACAGTACGTTTTTTTATTGCTCTTCCTTGTCTTAAATTGGAACTTAATTGATCCAGATAATTCTTATTAGTTTCGGTATTAATGTCATTTGTAAATGATTCTTCGTCTTCTTTATCTTCTGTAGATTTTTGTTTCCTATTACAAATATCAGCATTTTGACCATATTCAAAGAGATTGTTCCATCCTCCGCCTTGAAGTACGTTCAAAAGCGGATCTTTAATTAAAATTGGGAAGTATGGGGCTAGAGGCCATTGAAATGGAAATGGCGATTGCTGTCTTGTTTGGTATTGACTATTTAAGTCAGTAGGTATGACACTGCCATGTGCATTATAAATATTGTTTAAGGAAGGCATTACCAGAACAGGAATATTGGTTATATAAGGAATCGGTAAAGCTGGTATAACTTGATTATTGCTCATAGATTTAGACAGATATGGTAAACTTTTAGAATAGGAATTTCTTTGTGTATCTTCATTATTTATTAAGTTATTCTCTTGATATTTTTGAACTTCAGTTAAAGGCTTTAGTTTACCCGATGCTATGATTTGTTGCAATTTCTCTAAAATATCTTTATCGAGAACGTATCCTTCAATTTGTGGGTCACCGCCATTAACATTAATTTGTTGTCTTCTGTTTGGTTTCTTTAAACCTGCGTTTACAATTTTAATTTTGTCTAAAATATCTTTGGTGTCACTTTCTTCACCTTCTTGCATATTATACGATAAAGATTTATCTTCTTTATCAACATTATTTCTCAGTTCCAATGATTCTGTCGATTTTTCAGAAATAAATGGGTTTATCAACCTGAAATGATAAAAACAAATATATTTATTATTTGTTTTTTGTTTTATTATTATTATCATTTACCTTGCCCGAGCAATATTAATAAGCGTGCGTATATAAGTAAGCAGTGATAAAATGCAATGAATAAAATTTTGAAATACACCATACCTGAACACCTGGGTTTCCCGCTACGTTTGCTTCAATGCATCGATTTTTTTTAAGCCTTTTCATGTAAAAATTGTTAGTTGTGCTTTTGTACTTGTGCAATATTTATAGTGATCTATATTAACTCCCGTTAAATGTAAATAATACTTTATAAAGCTCTAGTGAAGGCAATAGTCGTATAATATCAAAACCGGTCCGGCAAACTAATCAAATGTATATAAATATCTTAAATATAATTAAAAGAAGGCAATAAAAACACTATTAAAAATGAAAGATTTTATTATAATTATAAGTTAATTTTATTTTACAATTTATTAGTTTATTAATAAATTATAATAAATGCAAAGGTAGATGTGAAACTTACTCATTATTCGACGGTCGAGACGCAACGTCTTGAAGGAAGAATGCGAACAGGATCTGAAAGAGAAAGGAAAGAATATTATAAATAAGATTATTAATTATAATAATAGTTCTTCTTCGAGATAAATGTTTTAATTATTAAATATTAATTCAAATTATATTAGACTAATAAAACATCAGTGATGGGAACTTATACTAGTTTTAAAATTTGTTTTTAACTTAATGCTCGAGGGAAGGTGTCCCTCTTAAAACGTTACTAAAACCTAAGTGCTGTTGCCAACCTGCCTGCCAAGCGTGGCAACTATTGGCAAACTCCTCTGACTGGCTGATACAACAAGAATCACAACATACTAATCGCTGCACCACTTAAGTCTCCTTTTGACACACAAAGTTTGTGTCAGGATATCTTCTATCCTAATTATTACTACTGAAAAATACCCTTACTAATATAATTGAAGGGTGGGATATGGCGTGAATTTACAGGGTACAGAGGAATAATACCTGAGTTCTCAGGAATGGCAACGCATGGGTGGTGTCATGGGCGAAACAGTATACTCTGTTATGTCCATGGTACTGCTCATGTCTATAGGCGACAGTTACCATTTTCCATCAGGTGGGCCGTCAGCTTGTTTGCCATTCTAAGTTGTATAAAAAAAAAGTGCAAGAAGTCAAGACATTTTTTTTTATATGTTAAAAGTAACAATTTGGCATTTTTATTATTTAAATTAGCATGCTTGTGGAGCTGTGGTTTCTAAAAGAAAGTGAACATTGTGGAGTGAAAAGACCAATATATCTAGGAGCTGCCACTAGGAATCACATTTATTATGTATGTAGGAACTGGTTTTGTTGTCAATTCGTTATAAGTTATGCATGGCGGGTTGGACTTTTCGCGTGTTTATTTATATCAGTAGAAACTTGAACTTGAACGATAAATAAGGATAATTTATAATAATTCTCGCGTCAATTAATCTCTCATTCTACCATTAACATATTTTTTCTTCCTTCCATAACTCAATCAGAATGAAGGTTCCTAATGAATGATAGTGGAATGGTGGGCCTGCGCTATCTGTGTACACTGGCGGGGTACCAATGTGTGGTAATAGGTGAAGATTAAACCAGGTCAGTTTTTAAAATGGGTGATAATGGAATGGTAACCCCGCCTGCGCTATCGGTATACACTGGCGGTGCACCAGTGAGGGGTGATAGGTGAGGATGAAAGTAGATCAGTTAGCCCATCGTGACGAAATTCACTAGAATTAACCACGATGGTTTCCAGGGGGAACCGCGTGGAGATCGACCTGATAGGGTCTATTGCTAGCAATGGGTCAGTTAGATTCCATTACTAATAATTCATTTCCCCCCAACCAGGTCAGTTAGCTCATCGTTACGAATTGAATAAGAATTAGTACTACAATGGTCTCCAGGGGAAACCATGCAGGAGGTCGATCTGGCAGGATATATTGATGAGGTATATTAAAGACTATGTGGTCCTTACATAGAATAGGCCACCCCTGTCCTTTCCCGTGAGTGTCGTAAGAGGCGACTAACGAAACTTATGGTCGAGGGATGGGCAGCAGCGTCCCTCTTAAAACATCTCTATAGTCTAAATACGGTTGCCAATCTGCCTGTCGAGTCTGGCAACTACTGGCAAAACCCCCCAAGGTGGAGGCTTATGTTGAGCAGTGGACAGTTAAAGGCTGATATGATGATAATAATAATGGGGATTAGTGTCCCCATTACTAACAATCCCACAAGTTTAAAAGTGGCCTATCTCCTTTCCTATCGAAAGTAGTACGTGTATGAGAAATTTCATTACAATTTGTTGGATCGCTAAAGTATTAAAATGTAACAAACAAACATACTTTCACATTTAATACTGACTTTTACCCGCGACTTCGTCCGCGTGACCGGGATTTTTATTTATTTTATTTTAATTATAATAATTCTACAGGTGCAACGCCTGCAGAAGGGGGGAAAGGGATTGTTAGTAATGGATATTCATAATATTAATACTAGATTTAAAGACAAACTTGCTGTCCCCAAGTATCGTTTAGAAAAAGTTAATAGGTCTTTTATGGGAATAGGTATAAAAATTTACAATAAGATACCAAAGGATATGTTGGAATTACCCTTAAATAAATTCAAAACATCTGTTAAATCATATTTACTGAGCAAAGCCTATTACTCACTAAACGATTACTTGAATGACGAGTGTGCATGGCAATAGTTGTTCATGCACTGAATTTTCATTTAATGTTAGACATAGACACCTATATAAATATACATTGTAAATAAACTGGCTTTAAAAAAAAAAAGTAATTCAATTGAGTTTCTTGCCAGTTCTTCTCAATTGGATCTATATACCGAACTGGACGGTAGGGAAAATATAAAATTATAATGTAAAAATTTGACGTTCATAAGCGGCTAAAATGTCCTACATGAATAAATGATTTTTGAATTTTGAATTTTGAATTTTGATACTGAGAATCCCATTGCTAGGAATATACCCAACCAGGTCGACCTCCTCGCGGTTCCCCTGGAACCTATCATGGTTGATTCCTGATGAATTCACCATGATGGGCTAACTGGCCTGTTTTCATTCTTATCGATCATCCTTAACTGGTGCTCCGCCAGCGTATCCCGTTAGGCATCCCGAAAGCGGTGTTACCATACCATTTTCATCAAAAAAAAAACGCCTGCAGAAACAAGTTTCAGTGCACAATCCATGAACTGATTTCTTCTCTGTGTTTTTTTTTTAATGGATGAAAATGAAGTGGTTATCCCCACCCGTGCTAACGGTGTACACCGGCGGGGCACCAGCGAGAAATGATAAGTGAGAATGAAAAGACATGTCAGTTAGCACATCGTGATGAATACATCTAGAATTCAGCACGATGGTTTCCAGGGGGAACCGCGTGAAGGTCGACCTGGTTGGGTATATTGCTAGCAATGGGATTTTTAGTCTCCATTACTAACAATCCCTTTCCTCCCCAATTAACCTACTACTACTTGACTACTTTATCCTTATCTACGGTTTGATCCCCAATAAACAGAGTTTTTCCTTAACTCCAAGGGTTGTGCCTCTAAAGAAAGAAGTAGGGCAAAAGGATTTCTTATGTTTTCCATCCCATAATGTATGCGTACGTATATATACCAAATTTCATAGTGATTGGTTAAGCCGTTATGGCGCTATAAGGTAACAAACAAACAAATATTTTCACATTTATAATATTAAGCGAGGGTTAGTTCATTCTATTAATTTTATAAATGTAAAAGTTTGTAAGGATAGACGGATAGGTGGATGGATGAATAGAAGGATGGATGCATGCAATAACTCTTTCATATATTGCAGGCATTCATAGGCTACAGTAACCGCTTACCATCAGGTGGGCCGTATGCTTGTTTACCACCTTAGTAGTATAAAAAAATGTGAAATTAATCAACGGACTTAAATGAAATTTGGTACACGAGATTTTTATATCCTAATTTAGCATATAGGATAGGATACTTCATGTATTGATTCGCTCAGGTAACGCGACGGGAGTTAGTACATAAAATATCCTGTGTATTCCTAAATAGATTAACATTACAACAGTATAATATCAAAGAACATTGACATCTAGGTTAAATACAAAACAAAATGTCCACACTTTTACTTTACATGCACATCAAGTGTAATTCTTCTCAAATTTATAATACAACATGCTTTAATACTTCCCGTTGTCAAGTTGACAGACAGACATGCGAATGCGTTTTGAACTTTGATAATCTCTATATAAACGCAGGCTGATGATCTGTAATCATTATAAAAGTTGATAGCTAAGTTGATGGAAAGTGGCAGCCGCCATAGTCTACAGACATGGGATTTTATATTCACCATACATAGGATTTATCGCATCAATCAATCTTACCGATTCATCCTTTTAATAACAAGTACATTTCGCTCTCCGCAAAAAGAAAAAAAAAACTATTTCAACCGTTATTACATACACACATACATATATTGTATGTGTGTATGTAACACACATACAATATATGTATGTACATATACACATATACATACATACACACGAGATAATTCGTAGATACATTAGAATCGTGTGTTTATAAGTAAATTTTAGTGGTTATTTGATTATAATTATTTTGTTTAATTCCGCTACCATTAGTATGTATGTGTATGTGTGCGACTGCCAACATTTAAAGATTGTAGTCTATCCAAAAGAAAAGATTGCTTAGCGATAAGGCCGCTTTTTGCATAATTTCTCATTAAAATTAACTGTATTTATTATTTTATAAATGATGCGATAAAGAGTAAAATAAAAAAAAGATTAAGTACTATTATTATAAGTAGAAGTTATACGATCTTCTACATATATTAGTCATCAATCTCCGACCGTTATTCAGTCTACTCATATGTTGTGAGACGTATTTCATTTCTAAACGTGGCATTTTTTGAGGCAAATAAATAAATCGCTGTTCGGAGCGTAAATAATTCTAATCGACTAATGAATAATCTACCTATATATATATATATATATATATATATATATATATATATATATATATATATAGGTAGGTGTTATTCCTCTGTACCCTACAAATTCACTGCCATATCCCACCCTTTAAATCGAAACACAGCCATGCAAACACAACTGCTTCACGGTTGAAACTTGAATGGGAATATATAACTGTTGATATGATGAAATAGGTTCCGTCTTCATTTTGTGACCAAAAAAACTGTTTATTTCTACACAAATAAAACTTTTATACACACACGATTCCGCATTATAATATCCCCAAATATTGTCTTTCTAATATGTTTTCAAAACATTAATTGGTTTATTTTGACACGATTTATTGTTATTTTTGCAAATTAAAATGTGAGTTTTTATACAACCAAGAGATCGGACCTCATTCCGAATTGAACCCCATTGTCGTTATACCTACAGCTAGATCAAATTGGCCTTATTTTCACATTACTTATTAGTGAATAACGTTTTGTTGCCAATAACAGCGATGAAACTGTAAGTATAGGTAATCTAGTGACGTCCGAAGTA